CAGGAATAGTCACAACCCTTACCACAAGGGCAAAGGCACGTACACACTAACATAGATTAAAAGCAGTCTGAGCCATGGTAATGACACTTTGACAGGATGCTAATGGAAATTCCTGTTTGTGTGTGTAGGTGTGCGAGTATGTACACTACCATTCAAAAGTTTGGGGTCAGTTAGAAATGTCCTTGTTTTCCATGAAAACTTGCATGAAGTGAGTTTGAATAGCCTTGGTTTCTCAAATGACTGCCTCGCCTGGTTCACCAACTACTTCTCAGATAGAGTTCAATGTGTCAAATCGGAGGGCCTGTTGTCTGGACCTGTGGCAGTCTCTATGGTGGTGCCACAGGGTTCAATTCTTGGGCCGACTCTTTTCTCCGTGTATATCAATGATGTCGCTCTTGCTGCTGGTGATTCTCAGATCCACCTCTACGCAGACGACACCATTTTGTATACATCTGGCCCTCCATTGGACACTGTGTTAACAAACCTCCAAACAAGCTTCAATGCCATACAACACTCCTTCAGTAGCCTCCAACTGCTCTTAAACACTAGTAAAACTAAATGCATGCTCTTCAATCGAACGCTGCTGGCACCCGCCCACCTGACTAGAATCACTACTCTCGACGGGTCTGACCTAGAGTATGTGGACAACTACAAATACCTAGGTGTCTGGTTAGACTGTAAACTCTCCTTCCAGACTCACATTAAGAATCTCCAATCCAAAGTTAAATCTAGAATCGGTTTCCTATTTCGCAACAAAGCCTCCTTCACTCATGCTGCCAAACATGCCCTCGTAAAACTGACTATCCTACCGATCCTTGACTTCGGCGATGTCATTTACAAAATAGCCTCCAACACTCTACTCAGCAAATTGGATGTAGTCTATCACAGTGCCATCCGTTTTGTCACCAAAGCCCCATATACTACCCACCACTGTGACCTGTACGCTCTTGTTGGCTGGTCCTCACTACATATTCGTCGCCAAACCCACTGGCTCCAGGCCATCTATAAATCACTGCTAGGCAAATCCCCGCCTTATCTTAGCTCATTGGTCACCATAGCAACACCCACCCGTTGTATGCGCTCCAGCAGGTATATCTCACTGGTCATCCCCAAAGCCAACACCTCCTTTGGCCGCCATTCCTTCCAGTTCTCTGCTGCCAATGACTGGAACAAATTGCAAAAATCTCTGAAGCTGGAGACTCTTATCTCCCTCACTAACTTTAAGCATCAGTTGTCAGAGCACCTTACCGATCACTGCACCTGTACACAGCCCATCTGAAATTAGCCCGCCCAACTACCTCATCCCTATATTGTTATTTATTTTGCTCATTTGCACCCCAGTATCTCTATTTGCACATCATCTCTTGCACATCTAACATTCCAGTGTTAATACTAATTGTAATTATTTTGCACTATAGCCTATTTATTGCCTTACCTCCATAACTTACTACATTCGCACACACTGTATATAGATTTTCTGTTGTATTTTTGACTTTATGTTTTGTTTTATCCCATATGTAACTCTGTGTTGTTGTTTTTATCGCACTGCTTTGCTTTATCTTGGCCAGGTCGCAGTTGTAAATGAGAACTTGTTCTCAACTGGCGTACCTAGTTAAGTAAAGGTGAAAAAAAAGAAAGAAAAAAAAAGAAAAGGAAATATAGCAAAATACATAGGAAATGTAGTCATTGACAAGATTAGAAATAATGATTTTTAATTGAAATAATAATTGTGTCCTTCAAACTTTGCTTTCGTCAAAGAATCCTCCATTTGCAGCAATTACAGCCCTGCAGACCTTTGGCATTCTAGTTGTCAATTTATTGAGGTAATCTGAAGAGATTTCACCCCATGCTTCCTGAAGCACCTCCCACAAGTTGGATTGGCTTGATGGGCACTTCTTACGTACCATACGGTCAAGCTGCTCCCACAACAGGTCAATAGGGTTGAGATCCGGTGACTGTGCTGGCCACTCCATTATAGACAGATACCAGCTGACTGTTTCTTCCCTAAATAGTTATTGCATAGTTTGGAGCTGTGCTTTGGGTCATTGTCCTGTTGTAGGAGGAAATTGGCTCCAATCAAGCGCCGTCCACAGGGTATGGCATGGCGTTGCAAAATTGAGTGATAGCCTTCCTTCTTCAAGATCCCTTTTACCCTGTACAAATCTCACACTTTACCACCACCAAAGCACCCCAGACCATCACATTGCCTCCACCATGCTTGACAGATGGCATCAAGCACTCCTCCAGCATCTTTTCATTTGGTCTGCGTCTCACACATGTTCTTCTTTGTGATCCGAACACCTCAAACTTCGATTCATCTGTCCATAACACTTCCTCTGTCCAGTGTCTGTGTTCTTTTGCCCATCTTTTTTTTTATTGGCCAATCTGAGATATGGCTTTTTCTTTGCAACTCTGCGTAAAAGGTCAGCATCCCGGAGTCACCTCTTCACTGTTGACGTTGAGACTGGTGTTTTGCGGGTACTATTAAATGAAGCTGCCAGTTGAGGACCTGTGAGGCGTCTGTTTCTCAAACTCTCAAATGTACTTGTCCTCTTGCTCAGTTGTGCACCAGGGCCTCCCACTCCTCTTTCTATTCTGGTTAGAGCCAGTTTGCGCTGTTCTGTGAAGGGAGTAGTAAACAGCGTTGTACGAGATCTTCAGTTTCTTGGCAATTTCTCGCATGGAATAGCCTTCATTTCTCAAAACAAGAATATACTGACGAGTTTCAGAAGAAAGTTATTTGTTTCTGGCCATTTTGAGCCTGTAATCGAACCCACAATTGCTGATGCTCCAGATACTCAACTAACCTAAAGAAGGCCAGTTTTATTACTTCTTTAATCAGCACAACAGTTTTCAGCTGTGCTAACATAATTGCTAAAGGGTTTTCTAATGATCAATTAGCCTTTTAAAATGATAAACTTGGATTAGCAAACACAACGTGCCATTGGAACACAGGACTGATGGTTGCTGATAATGGGCCTTTGTACGCCTATGTAGATATTCCATAAAAAATCAGCAGTTTCCAGCTACAATAGCCATTTACAACATTAACAATGTATACACTGTATTTCTGATCAATTTGATGTTATTTTAATGGACAAAAAATTTGCTTTTCTTTCGAACACAAGGACATTTCTAAGTGACCCCAAACTTTTGAACGGTAGTAGTGTAGGTGTAATTTTCCCTAGGGTACATATTGGTGGAAGTTAAGGTATGTTCTATGGAACCAGTGTTATTCTGTTGCTTATTTGGCCGACTACTCTATCTAGCTTCTGGGGCTTATCATGTTGGCTGTGCACAGGCATTTTTCCACTAAAGAATTATGAGTAGTGTTTACTTAGTTGTTTAAACCCAGTTGACTCTGTTGACCGGTTTCATCTTCCGTTATCATCTTTAACCCTTAAGGTTGATGTCCGCGCCCCGTGTACATTTAATTAGCATAATCAATAAATCCCCATAAAAATCAGTCCGTTTAAGCTAGAGATATTTTGCACTGGATACGTCTCAATCCACCGCATCTGCCTATATCACACTTCCACATCTGCGGTGAAAAGTGACAGGCTAGAGCGGGGTTTGTCAGACCTTGAGACATCCTGAAAATCGGTCTTCTCACAAAAACAATTTGGTCTACATAATTTGTCACAAAAAAAGAAAATCTATCTTTTTTTTATACTTCAAGGGGTCTTCAAAATCAAATAGCTAAATGATACTTGGTATGACCTTCTTAAAACAATTCCATATAGAACCCCCCACCCCTCCTCCAACTTAGACAGAGCTTAGACTCTTATGAGTTAATAACCCATTAGAAAAAACTTTGATCTGACCATGGTTGTTAGCCATAGGGCTGGCACAATTACTGTATAACCGTTTAACCGACGATTATCGATGAAGACCGTCATGAAAATTAAAAAAAACATCATAACCGTTTTAAGAAATAAATAAAATAATTTTTGTGGAACGAACAGCTGACTGAAAAGAGGACGGCGGGGCATTCCTGCGTTTGAGTCCGTTTCTGCGGGAACATGGAATCTTAACAACGTGCAGAAACGTTGTTGCTCCGTGCTGAAATGTAGAATTTTAATTCTAATTATGTTGACTTATGTGGCTCATGCAATGGAATGTATTTTTTGTAATGTCAGTTGAGTTGAATCAACAATATTATCAGCACATATTGATTCATACACTTCCTCTTTTTACATCCTGCTTTTACTTCCTGCTTCGCTCCTATAGATACACTCGCAATGGCCACCAGTCCACTCATTATGCCAATTACGGTCATCCAAAATTATATGACCGTCACAGCCCTACTTATTGATTAGAATTATTATAATATATTTAGTGAATTCCATGTTTTGACCCCGGATAAATCCCCATAAAACATAACAATTAACCTATTTATCTTTACTGAAGTCAATTTCATAGCCTCTAGAACAGAGTGCTCTGCTTAGTCTGAAATTAGGGCAGAGTGGAGAGGCTCCCTTAGTGCTGTGCTGGTTACGTGGTAGCTGACATTCATTCACATATGGGAAGCCACACACACATGCCTGTCAGAGCCGTGCCTCAGAGACACTAGTGGTGGAGAACATCCTTAAGTCCTTTTGTCAGCCTGGCCCAACACACTGCTGCACTGTAGCTGTTGTGTGTGTGTGTTTTGCTCTATTATTAACCACTCTCTGTGGCATTGGCTGCCTTAGGGCCTTAGTGGGCTTACGTAAGGGAGAGAGAGGGGCTTCACAGCCCACCAGCCTCAGAGGCCTGTAGACATGACACACACACACAACCCCATGACCCCACACCCCAGGCCGCTCAATGTCGCCATCCATATTCACTGTGCCCAGCAGCACTAGTGCAGACTCTTCTCAGACATGTTTTTGACCTCCAGGAATGTACCTCCAGCTCTCTCTCTCTCTTACTCTCTCCCTCCTTCTACATTACCCTCTCTCCTTTCCCCAACTCTCTCGCCCTCCTCTCTCCCTCTCTCTTATTTGTGCGTGGCACAGGTCTGACGTGGTGGTGCTGTGTTTCTCACTGGCCAACCCCAACTCCCTGCGCCATGTCCGCACTATGTGGTACCCTGAGATTAAGCACTTCTGCCCCCGCACCCCTATCATCCTGGTGGGCTGCCAGCTGGACCTGCGCTACGCCGACCTGGAGGCTGTCAACCGCGCCCGCAGACCCCTAGCCAAGTAAGATCACCCTCATCCTCCTGAAACGGGTTTAAATACATGCATATTTAAGTTTATTTTAATTTGAAATACTTATTTTCTGTTTTATTTGAGTATTTTCAAATAATGTGCCCGAATCCAACGACTTTTATTTGAAGTATTTGAAAGTATTTTCAAATCATTTCCTATAAATAGACCTACTATTTGAAACTATTTTCAAATAGCCAAGTTGTTTCCAAATACATCTCAAATACCCCTAGGACAATACAGACCTGGGTACAAATGCATGGAGTATTTAAATATTTTTGTTTGAAAATACACTTGTCTGTGTATTTGACTTTTTTCAATAGTATTATATTCTAATACAAAAAAATATATATACTTACTTTGAAATGTCTTTGAAAGTAATTGAAATACTTAAAATAGTATTTGAACCCAGGTCTGGACCACCTTGACTGCAGCAGTCCCATCACATCCATTGGCTGGGTGTGTGGCATTTGACTGAAATGCAAACGCACCTGTCTGGCCTTCTGTCTGTCCATAGTTTAGGTCCTTGTTTTTGTCTAATACACTCTTGACTCAGTTACAGCCCTGTGGCACGATAACACAGTTATAGAACAATCCTTTCATTAGAGATCTACCTCTCTGCTAATGATGTAATCCTCTCCCTTTGTCTTCAGACCCATCAAGCCTACAGACATCCTACCTCCTGAGAGAGGCCACGAGGTGGCTAAGGAGCTGGGCATTCCCTACTTCGAGACCAGCATCGTGGCCCAGTTTGGGGTCAAGGATGTGTTCGACAACGCCATCCGTTCTGCCCTTATCTCCCGCCGCCACCTCCAGTTCTGGAAGTCCCACCTGAAGAGAGTCCAGCGGCCCCTCCTCCAGGCCCCCTTCCTGCCCCCCCGTCCACCTCGCCCTGTGGTGGGCATCCCCGACCCCCCTCCCATCGACGGAGAGGCCCCTGACTCCCTCCTCTGCCGGCCGCTGTGCGCTGACGTCCTCTTCCTTCTCCAGGGCGGTGCCACGCGCGTCTTTGCACACAAAGTCTACCTGGCCACATCCTGCTCCAAGTTCTATGACCTCTTCACCCTGGACCTGCTGGCTACCGAGTCGGATTGGGAGGGAGAGGAGCGCGCCGAGAGCGGGGAGGAGGACGAGCAGAGCAGGAGAGGAGCCAAAGAGCAGGCGGGGCGCACTAAGAGCTTGGACATCGATAAGGAGGGGGAGGGGGGCGCCAGGGGACTCAAACGGCCACCCATGCTCCAGCAGGGCTCCCTGAGAACTTCCAAAAGTGATAACGCCCTCCCCGCCAGGAGCCAGTGCCCCCTGGGGCCCCTGGGAGCCGGCCGTGGCCTCTCGGGCTGGGGGAGGGGCTTCCTGAGTGTTTACCTGGAGCACATAGCTGACCCCGAGACGGGGCGACTTCGCCTCATGACCGTGGTCTCCATGGACGTCCTCATACAGGAAGAACCCTTCCAGGTAAGATCTGATAACAACAAAACAAGTCTTGCAAGATGCTTTGGATAATAGCGTCTGCTAAATCATTGTATTAAATCATGCAAAACCAGCTACATCGTGAGGTTCCCATTCCCAACACTGCTCCAGGGTTGTATAATCTTAGTGCACTGTGAAGAATGCCCCTACTGGTCATCACAACCATAACACATTTTAGGGCAACAAAGACATTTTAAAAAAAGTCCCTATATTCAGTCTGTTATGAGAACGGTAGCCCCTATCTACATGAGCAGGGTGTCTACGGAAAGCTGAGTATCTTGGCTATTGATCGGTGCCTTCAAATCTTTGGTGTGACTTACTACCATATATGGGCATATGAATTTTTAAGGACAAGCCGAGCCGATGACCTCATTTCAAGATGGCTGCTACCTACATTCCGGTTAGCGTTGTGAAGAATAAACAAAATAAACACGGAATACGTCAATACACACCGAAAGCCGGGACTCCACAGATCATGGGGCTATCTTATTTGTCTGCCTGTGACCTACCGTTATTAATCACCAGCCCCGAGAGTCAAAATGTTTATTTTACACGTTTTCACCCAACAGCAAACATCTCACAAGGTAAGCTTTGATTTGGTCTGTGTTTGAACTATAGCTACACGGGGAATATCAAATTAATCCTTAGGTTGGTAGGAACAAGCCTATTGCCAATGTTATCTGATGATGTATGATTTAATGGCAACATCGAATGTCCACCGAGTTACTATATCTTTGCGCATCAAAAATATGATGTTGCCTGCTTACGCACTGTAGGCATCCATTAAACAGGGGATTGGCTATTATGGCACCTTGACAGTCTTGTAGCCAATGAGATAAGCTTTCCAGGGATATGCAGTTGACCTGGGTTGGACAAAACAAGGTCTAGAACCTTTTTATGTGTAATGTGAACTATTGCTACCTGGCTTAGAGACTTGGAAATGTCCGTGACCACACCTGACACCACTTACTAAAACATCTGCCCATTTTTTTTTCTGATATTGTTCACATGTTATGGAAGCCATCTGATGTGGTTCCAGGTCTAGTCATCAATAATTCACTTATAGCTTGTCAATGAAAGATGACTTTCAAAATTAAACTGTTATTTTGTGTGTGCTTGATCTTGTGAATTCTGAACTATGTAACTCCTATCTGTCTTCTGATCATTTCCTCATAATCTCCCAGATGTCTTCTTTCCAAATATACCAAGTTTCAGAATCATGTAATTACACATGAATAGCAGTTACTTTTGGGTATGTCTATATAGGCAGAAATCTAAATTTTGCCATTATATTTACATTTAAGAGGAGAATTAAAGGTAATTAAAGTGAAGTGAATTCAAACACATCAAATGGTGTTTATTAACTTGATTTATACCACTGCTTGGCTTAATACTCAATTCCGATAAGTTGAGAGGGTGTTGATTCTTTTTTCAACTCTGCGGTGGTTTCAGGCCGTGCTGCAGTACTTGTATACAGGCAGTCTGGACGAGAGCCGAGGGGACCTGATGCAGGTGGCCACCATCGCCGAGCTGCTGGAGGTGTTTGACCTGAGGATGATGGTGGCCAATGTGCTGAACCGGGAGAGCTTCATGAACCAGGAGATCACAAAGGCCTTCCACGTCCGCCGAGCCAACCGCATCAAAGAGTGCCTCAGCAAGGGTACCTTCGCCGGTAAACACACTGCCCCCACTTCTCTTGACTTACTGCGTCCTCAGAGCTATTGTGTGTTATGTGTGCGTGTGCGTGTTTGCATTCATAAGTGTGTACACACTACATTTAGCATTCCCATGTTATTCCAATATTCTCCCATTAATTCACATGTCTGGATCTATGGCCATGATATTGTTTTTCCTATTTGCAATATTTTGTTTGTGTGTCCTGTCCTCCATGTCAAAATGAGTCCATTTGGTGTCATCGATCTAAATATGTGTTGCTGAGCTTTTCTGCTTTCTCCGTATGTGTGCCGTGCCCATGTGTTTCTTTACGTCACTCCTTTCTGGTTCCTTTGTGTGCATGTTGGCTATAGCGTTTCCTTCAAGGTGAGAGTGAGATACTATCTCTAAAGTAACTGTAGTCTTTTCTACCTTCAGCTGGCCTACCACAGTCCTTATGTTGTAGTCATTGTGTCTATTTCCATGGGGATTTGTTTTTCAATATAAACTATATATACAAAAGTATGTGGACACCCCTTCAAATTAGTGGATTCGGCTATTTCAGCCACACCCGTTACTGACAAGTGTATAACATCGAGCACACAGCCATGCAATCTCCATAGACAAACATTGGCAGTAGAGAATGGCCTTACTGAAGAGCTCAGTGACTTTCAACAGTCATAGGATGCCACCTTTCCAACAAGTCATTTCGTCAAATTGCTGCCGTGCGATCTGCCCCGTGTATTGATGTTAGAGCTGCTAGAGCTGCCCCGTGTATTGATGTTAGAGCTGCTAGATCTGCCCTGTGTATTGATGTTAGAGCTGCTAGATCTGCCCCGTGTATTGATGTTAGAGCTGCTAGATCTGCCCCGTGTATTGATGTTAGAGCTGCTAGATCTGCCCCGTGTATTGATGTTAGAGCTGCTAGATCTGCCCCGTGTATTGATGTTAGAGCTGCTAGATCTGCCCCGTGTATTGATGTTAGAGCTGCTAGATCTGCCCCGTGTATTGATGTTAGAGCTGCTAGAGCTGCCCCGTGTATTGATGTTAGAGCTGCTAGAGCTGCCCCGTGTATTGATGTTAGAGCTGCTAGATCTGCCCCGTGTATTGATGTTAGAGCTGCTAGATCTGCCCCGTGTATTGATGTTAGAGCTGCTAGAGCTGCCCCGTGTATTGATGTTAGAGCTGCTAGATCTGCCCCGTGTATTGATGTTAGAGCTGCTAGAGCTGCCCCGTGTATTGATGTTAGAGCTGCTAGAGCTGCCCCGTGTATTGATGTTAGAGCTGCTAGAGCTGCCCCGTGTATTGATGTTAGAGCTGCTAGATCTGCCCCGTGTATTGATGTTAGAGCTGCTAGATCTGCCCTGTGTATTGATGTTAGAGCTGCTGGATCTGCCCCGTGTATTGATGTTAGAGCTGCTAGAGCTGCCCTGTGTATTGATGTTAGAGCTGCTAGATCTGCCCCGTGTATTGATGTTAGAGCTGCTAGAGCTTTTTTAGGGGGTAGATCAGCTTTAATATTTCAGATCGATTGTGGCTTCCATCAGTGTAATTGTCTGCATAATTTCCAATCCCCCATATATTTGTTTTGTAAATAGCATTCGAAAGTATTCAGACCCCTTGACCTTTTCCACATGTTGTTACGTTACATTCTTAATATAAAATGGATTACATAGTTTTTTCCCCCCTTATCAATCTACACACAATACCCCATAATGACAAAGCAAAAATAGTTGTTTTGAATTTCTTTACAAAAACTAAAATAATATCACATTTACATAAGTATTCAGACCCTTTACTCAGTACTTTGTTGAAGCATCTTGAGTCTTCTTGGGTATTACGCTATAAGCTTGGCACACCTGTATTTTGGGAGTTTCTCCCATTCTTCTCTGCAGATCCTCTCAAGCTCTGTCAGGTTGGATGGGAGTGTCGCTGCACAGCTATTTTCAGGTCTCTCCAGAGATGTTAGATCGGGTACAAGTCTGGGCTCTGGCTGGGCCACTCAAGGACATTCAGAGACTTTTCCTGAAGCCACTCCTGCGTTGGCTTGGCTGTGTGCTTAGGTTTGTTGTCCTGTTGGAAGGTGAACCTTCGCCCCAGTCTGAGGTCCTGAGCGCTCTGGAGCAGGTTTTCATCAAGGATCGCTCTGTACTTTGCTCCGTTCATCTTTCCATCGATCCTGACTAGTCTCGCAGTCCCTGCCTCTGAACAACATCCCCACAGCATGATGCTGCCACCACCATGCTTCACCTTAGGGATGGTGCCAGGTTTCCTCCAGACGTGGTGCTTGGCATTCAGGCAAAATAGTTTAATCTTGATTTCATCAGACCAGAGAATCCTGTTTCTCATGGTCTGAGAGTCCTTTAGGTGTCTTTTGGCAAACTCCAAGCGGGCTGTCATGTGCCTTTTACTGAGGAGTGGCTTCCATCTGGCCGCTCTACAATAAAGGCCTGATTGGTGGAGTGCTGCAGAGATGGTTGTCCTTCTGGAAAGTTTTCCCATCTCCACAGAGGAACTCTAGAGCTCTGTCAGAGTGACCATCGGGTTCTTGGTCACCTCCCTGACTGTGGGACCTTATATAGACAAGTGTGTGCCTTTCCAAATCATGTCTAATCAATTGAATTTACCACAGGGGGACTCCAATCAAGTTGTAGAAACATCTCAAGGATGATCAATGGAAACAGGATGCACCTCAGCTCAATTTGTAGTCCCCTGTAGCTCAGTTGGTAGAGCATGCCGCTTGCAACGCCAGGGTTGTGGGTTCGTTTCCCACGGGGGGACTTACTAACTGTAAGTCGCTCTGGATAAGAGCATCTGCAAAATGACTAAAATGTAAATTTTGAGTCTCATAGTAAAGGGTCTGAATACTTGTAAATAAGGTATTTCTGTATTTTATTTTATTTTTTGCCAAAAAATCTAAAAACCTGTTTTCACTTTGTCATTATGGGGTATTGTATGTAGATTGATGAGGAAAACAAATATTTAATCAATTTTAGAATAAGGCTGTAACATAACAAAATGTGGAAAGTCAAGGGGTCTGAATACTTTCAGAATGCACTGTGTGTGTGTGTGTGTGTGTGTGTGTGTGTGTGTGTGTGTGTGTGTGTGTGTGTGTGTGTGTGTGTGTGTGTGTGTGTGTGTGTGTGTGTGTGTGTGTGTGTGTGTGTGTGTGTGTGTGTGTATATATATTGATGCCCCACCAGGTGAGATCTTGCAACTTCTTCCATTTTCTAATAATTGCGCCAACAGTTGTTGCCTTCTCACCAAGCTGCTTGCCTATTGTCCTGTAGCCCATCCCAGCCTTGTGCAGGTCTACAATTTTATCCCTGATGTCCTTACACAGCTCTCTGGTCATGGCCATTGTGGAGAGGTTGGAGTCTGTTTGATTGAGTGTGTGGACAGGTGTCTTGTATACAGGTAACGAGTTCAAACAGGTGCAGTTAATACAGGTAATGAGTGGAGAACAGGAGGGCTTCTTAAAGAAAAACTAACAGGTCTGTGAGAGCCGGAATTCATACTGGTTGGTAGGTGATCAAATACTTATGCCATGCAATAAAATGCAAATTAATTACTTAAAAATCATACAATATGATTTTATGGATTTTTGTTTTAGATTCTGTCTCTCACAGTTGAAGTGTACCTATGATAAAAATTACAGACCTCTACATGCTTTGTAAGTAGGAAAACCTGCAAAATCGGCAGTGTATCAAATACTTGTTCTCCCCACTGTATATGGCACAGCTGTAAATTTTTTGGTCCTTAAATGAAACTGGTAAACTTTTTTATTTATCACAATTCTTTTTATATATATATATATATATAAAACGCGTTCTCTGGAGTGATGAATGACGCTTCACCATCTGGCAGTCCGACGCACAAATCTGGGTTTGGCGGATGCCAGGAGAACGCTACCTGCCCCAATGCATAGTGCCAACTGTAAAAGTTGGTGGAGGAGAAATAATGGTCTGGGACTGTTTTTCATGGTTGGGGCTAGGCCCCTTACTTCCAGTGAAGGGAATTCTTAATGCTACAGCATACAATGACATTATAGACAATTCTGTGCTTCCAACTTTGTGGCAACAGTTTGGGGAAGGCCCTTTCCTGTTTCAGCATGACAATGCCCCTGTGCACAAAGCGAGGTCCATACAGAAATGGTTTGTCGAGATCGGTGTGGAAGAACTTGACTGGCCTGCACAGAGCCCTGACCTCAACCCCATCGAACACCTTTGGGATGAATTGGAACGCCGACTGCGAGCCAGGCCTAATCGCCCAACATCAGTGCCCGACCTCACTAATGCTCTTGTGACTGAATGGATACAAGTCCTCGAAGCAATGTTCCAACATCTAGTGGAAAACCTTCCCAGAAGAGTGGAGGCTGTTATATCAGCAAAGGGGGGACCAACTCCATATTAATGCCCATGAATTTGTAATGAGATGTTCGATGAGCAGCTGTCCACATACTTTTGGTAATGTAGTGTACCTCTTGAATATAAATGATTTACTCGCTCTAGTGGTTTCTATGCCCCATGAAGATTAGCGTGTCCTATAGGTCTGCCCTAGGGATTGGTTTAGTTTTTTCAAAGAATGCTTCCTCTTTCGAATGACATCTTTCGGCCTCCAAACAGAATAAAGGGACAGTCAGAGCCCTTCAAAGGTCTATATAGGTTTCAAACTTAGTACCTCAACTCTGCTTGACACTGTGTGCCAGCGTGTCCCTCCCTTACACCCTGTGTCAAATAGAGCTCTGTCTATCTGTCACTGTATCTCTCGGTCTGTCTACCCGTCTCTGTGTGCGTCTGTCTGTCTGCGTTTGTCTGTGTTTGTGTCCTTCTATCTGTCTGTCTTCCCCTCTCTCTGTAACCTCGACTCCGTGGCTCACTACGAGATGAGTGCTCAGTGTTTTCCCTCCCCCGGTTTTAGATGTGGTGTTCCGCCTGGACGATGGATACATGCCGGCCCACAAACCCCTGCTCATCTCCAGCTGCGACTGGATGGCCGCCATGTTCCGGGGATCCTTCATGGAGAGCTACATCGAGGAGGTGAGTCAGGAGTAAGATGCTGGGGTTACACTGTCAAACCAGACATATTCCCCAGTTGAACCTAGCAATAGGAGAAATATCAAAGTGTTAGCTAAATGTGTGGAAGAATGACATGGATTGGGGTTCGGTAAGGATGGGTTGTAGAAGTATAGTAGTGGTGGTGGTAGAGGAGGGGTCGTGGCTGGATGAGCTGTTCTGCGATCTATAAACCTGTTTCACCTGTCAATGTGTTGAATGCACACTGTAGTATGATCCTCCTCTAAGGGCTCACAGAGTTAGCTGCCACGCTAACTGACAATACATAGAGTACTGGAGTACAGCCAGAAGAGTGGCTTAAAGCAGCAGGCAGACAGGATTCCGCATCTGAGCCGGCTCACCTCGGGACTTCCTGTTTAATTTCCTGTCTACACATACTTCCTGGACAAGAGGAATCGTGAGAATATCATAATATCACAGCACTAACCACACATACCGCCCGCATTCCTGCCTGTTATCAACATACTGTCAATTGACAGCCTTATCTGATGGTTCGAGAAGAGGCTATTGAGGGAGGCTGAGAGAGATGGTAGAGCAGAGGACAGTATGTATCGCAAAGGGAACTCTTTTTCCTTTGACATTTGACCCCAAGACAACGGCGTAACATGACATGCATTCACATTAGAGAGCTGCCCGTGAGCCATACATGAGAAACAATCCAGGAACACACAAAAGTCTGTATATAGTAGCTAGAACACAGGATATTGTGGGACTGTGGGCCGGATCATTCTGGATTCTCAGAGCCCAAGCATCCCTCTCCTTATCCAGGTCAGTATTCCCTGTGCGGTGTGTGTCCGGTTACCCCCGGCGCGTCTCTGGCGGCTCGGGTTCTAGAAAGACAACTCCAGGACAGGGCTGCGGACTGGGCCGACCCACCCAGGGAGGGAGCACCTGTCTCTGGGTGCTGTGGGTGTCCGCTGCCTGTGCCCTTCTGACGAACTAGATCCCCCAGGTATGGTTACAGTCCAGGCCCCACAGGCTTTGGGTTACGGCCCTGCCAGGAAGCCGGCAGCCCCAGGACGCTGGCCTGGTCCGATGGATGCTTTTACAGCCAGAGTCCACAGGGAGGGGGGAGGGGTGAAGGTGGAGTGGACAAGGGTCATGGTGCAGGGTGGGGGTCATTTTATCTATAAGGACATTTGTAAAACACCGACAGCAGTGAGGGTGGGGGTCGACAGTGGAGGCTACCGGGATGCTTGCCAGTATCCATGGTAACCCTGAAAGCTTCATGTTTGTCCCATTGTGGCAATCTTTATGGCGTTCCGCTTGCACAGTGCAGTGGCCAGGTGCACATCTAACAAAGACCGAGGCACTGGACAATGTGAAGCCGTCAGTATTTGTCATTGTGTGTGAGATGTCTATAGTGGAGCAACCAGGATAGTGGGATAGAGTCCTAGACTCTTAGGGTTGCACATTCACCTCAGTTTGAAATCTCAGTACAAAAACCCTCACACATCCCTCCCTTTCCCTGCTTAGCTGGCTGGCCTTGCGGTGCATGGACAAAGCCTCCCTTGGAGTGGCACAGATGTGGCTGTGGTTGTGAGCAGTGCCATTGTGCCTGACGCAGGCAGACGGGTCCCCTTGTCACTAATGCATTACCACGTGCTGTCTGTCTGCCCCCCTGTCTGTCTGTCTGAGACACATCTGCCTGGTGAATGTCTGGCTATTTTCAGAGCCAGTCTCAATGGAGCAGAAGCGAGACACTTGATGTAGCATTTAACAGACGCTCAAACGGAGGGCAATTTTTTTTTGCTTTGCCTTAGCAGCAAGGCCCTTGAACGACAGTTTTTCAGGCTCCGCTCTATTCAGGAGGAAAATAACTCAGAGAGGTGGTCAGGGTTGAAAAGAAGAAGTGAAACTTCACTAGTGAAAGGAAAACAAAACAAGAGAAAGGATGAAAAGGACACTTGTCCGAGCGAGGGTCGTGGCGGCGTGCGTGGAGAAGCGTGTGTCCTTGGGAGTCTCTGACCAAACAGTGTACTGTACTGTGGCTCATCTTGCTTGATCATCCTCTGTTTCAAAGTGTGTTGGACTGAGACTGGATGCACCAACCTTTCCGTCTGTCTGCCGTCAGCCAACACAGTTCTTTCTTTAACACCTTTCACCTTGAGTCGTCTCGCCCTTCCCATGCCAAAAATAAACTCAATAAGACCCTCCCTGATTGGATAGTTTGGTTTGAATGCCCTTCTGATGATGAGTAAGGAGTTCATCAAACTTAATCTGAACGGTACCCACAAAGAATCATACAAACAATTTCAGGATAAAGACAAGGTGAGACAGCCAACAGCTATTAGTAGCTGCAGGTCAGGACAACCAACTTTAGCAGTTTGCATTAAAAAAGCAGAAACATGACAACCTAATTCAAATGAGTAAAAAAAAAAAGCACTGGTTAATTTATTCATCCAGTCTGGCAAGCCCTCGAGATGAGCCAGCCTTCAGAAAATTCAACCAAACACTTGATCCCAAATGTACAACTCCTGGCACTGCTAGAGTAAACGGGTTGATTGCTTTGCAAATGGATACAGCAACTCAGGTAGTTAATGAGATTCTGAAAGAGCCATGAAAAAGAACCCTGTGTGTAGACAGATGGAGCAAGAAAGGACTGACTGTTTCGCTTATGGGCATATCAGCCAGCCTCTATCAGCCCAGCATGCACTGCTCATCCTCCTGAGCTGGCCATAGCTTTGAACGGCGGGGCAGAAATGTCTGAATCTGAGTCGGACAATGACGATTATCCTCTTAAATCCAAGTCACATTAAGATTGATTTATAATTTAAACCTAACTGGAAAATAGGGGGTAGGTTGTAGAGAGTCGAAGGACCATAAATCTAATAAGAAACCTTAGGTGCTGGCTTAAGGCCGGTAGCAACCACTACAGAATGTCCGGTCAGAACAAGGATGAGGCGGATGTCCAGGTTAAGGGGGGTTTAATGGAAGAAGATGTCCACATTCACACACACATACTATCTACAGTTATCCATTAAGGAACCATTATCTGGAATAAACCTTTTCTAAAGACATCTGGACTTGTTCTTGCCGGACAGACCTGTGGCGGCAGAACCATATCCACTGGCACCTATTGCCCGTTATTCATGGTCCTCCCGGATCAGTTCTTAGTATTCATGGTCCCCCCTTGTGCCTTATTGCTTAAGTGACCCCTAGTGGTCAGAGTGGTGCAGGGTTTTACAAATGTTATACGCTGTGTGTGTGCATGTGTGGGAAGGTGTGTGGGAGAAGATGAAGAGAAGGGGGTTGCCATGGTCCGATGGTGCAATCTGCAGTCCCAGCAGTTTTCTTTCGATCCCTCCCAAAATCGCCCTCGTAACTCCTTGGCCGTCACTTGTGGCTGTGGGAATAAGTGTGCCTTTGTTTGCTCTCCTCTGAGGAGAGAAACACACTTGGACCCTCTCCAGGTTCTGAACAAGTTTCAGGATGGAGGGGGGTCTTGGCCTACCATCAACTCTTACACTGCACTAAGGATAGAGTAATCTTCATGAATCTGGTATCTTCTTTTTCTTAACATAACTTCTCCTGGACATCTTTTCTCCAGTGCAGTGTTAATTTTGGCAGCTATTTTAGATTTAGTCTTAAAATACCTTTTAGTCTTAGTCACATTTGAGTCATTTCATCCTTTGTTAGTTTTAGTCATTATCAGTTGACTAAAACTCTGGACAATTTTTGTCTAGTTTTAGTCACATAATAGTCAGTGCATTTGTTTCTATTAAATCATGAATATTTAGGCAGATGGCCTTGTCCAACTATCCCCTCGTATAGATTAGCTGGCAAGATTGATATTGTAGCTGATTGTAACCAATGCCAGCCATAATTAACCATATAGGCTATAAAGCCTTGGCTACAGGTTAAACAATTTACAGCTCTGATTTTCTCCCCATCATAACTGTCAAGGGGGTAAATAACAGTGGTTTCCTTGAAAAGGGGAGAATTTGAGCTTTACAAAAATTCCAGAATTATTACTGTACTCCTAATATTCAACGGATAGCATTCATTTTCCCCATAGAATAAAGCAACTGCAACTCGCATTTGCGGACCGCGGCGCGAGAGAGGCAACACAGATGAATGAATAACAGTGCAAAATAGAGCTTCTGATGTGATCAAATCAAAAATAGGCTACATGAAAGTAAGAGAGAGAGGAAACATTGTTTCTATACTGAACAAAAATATAAACACAACATGCAACAATTTCAACAATGGATGGATTATCTTGGCATAGGAGAAATGCTCACTAACAGGGATGTAAACAAATTTGTGCTAAGAATTTTAGAGAAATAAGCTTTTTGTGCGTATGGAAAATTACTGGGATTTTTTATTTCAGTTCATGAAAAATGGGACCAACACTTTACATGTTGCATTTATATTTTTGTTAAGTATAGTTGAGGTTAGTTACAAGTCAAGTGTCCTGGCTCTGCATCAGATCAAAAGATTGACGAGTGACTGAAGTGACCACCTGGGAGCTGTGTGGGAGAGCCGGGCAGAACAGCTCAATCCAACCGTACAACTGAAAGATGTCAATTCTGCCAATGAGAGGATATTCTGCATGCATGCCTGCATGCTTAGGATTGGACAAAACCGATGAAAAGTAGCTTAATGTCAAATTATATGTCCATTGATCTCACATGGAATTCTCGTCTCATTACATTTTCGTCGACTAAAATGAGAAGGAATTTGTAATAGTTTTTTTCCAGGGCATTTTGTATTTTTATCGTCATAGTTTTAGTCAGGAAAAATAGGTTGTTGACAAGTATTTTTCGTCATGGTTATTGTTGACAAAATTAATACTGATCCAGTGTTCCTGAGAGATTCAATGTTTTCCTGAACCGAACTCTTTAAAGAACCACACAACCACATGTCTATTGCACCTCAGCCCACTCTGCCTGTATTGGTAGCTCTGATCAGCCTGAGTGCTACTGCTTCAACAACAGACAATCTTATTGGAGCAGGACACGGTGAGCAGCAAA